GTAACTGTAGACAGGAGTAGAAAGCTCAGTTTTTCTTCCCAGGAGCTGCTGGTGGTTTCAAACTGCCGACCATGCGGATCTCAGCCCCGCTCATAACCACAACACCGCCAGGGTTCCTAGGGGAAGACAGACAGGACAAAGAAGCTCCACAGAAGTCCAGAGTGGGTCCTTCCGCTGTAGTCCTGCGTGGGGTGTGGGTGAGAGGCTGAGGGCCTAGGTGGGCCTGTGGACCCATGTGTCTGGCTGGCTGTCAGACGCCTTCAGCTTGTGAGAGGAGAAGCCAGCCATCAGCAGACATTCCACAGCCATCCCCCTGAGCCGATGGCACCAAACAGATCATGATTCCGCCCCTCGTAGAGTTTATGACACTGGTGAGGAGAGACGATCACTGTGGTCAACAGAGAGGTTATTTTAGAACCTTGTACATATGAAGGGGAGAAGCGGGCTTGGAAGTGCTGGGAGAAGATCGGATTGCGGTTTAAATAAGGTGGTGCAAGCCTCCCCAACAGATCCCTTCAAAGCCTGTGTGGGAAAGCGCAGCCTTGGCCAGAAACAAGCCCAAGGGGTAAATGTGCCCTGCCCAGGATGATGGATGGCTGTCACCCTGGCAGCAGAGCTCGCAGTGGCTGGGGATGAGGTTCTTGCAATGTTGGGAGGGCCCGATCACAGAGCCCCCCACCCCGACCCCCGGGAAGGCCTTGCCAGAGCGCTAGCTCTTCCTCAGGGAGAAGGGGAAGCCTTTCAGGGCCAGCTCCAGGGGGTTTCCGTGGGCGGCACCTAGTGACAGTGCCGGCCTGTGCATCCCCTTGGGGAGGCTGCGCCCTGCCTGGGCTCCCAGCCTGTGTTCTGTCCCCTCAGCACGGGGTCCTGTCCCAGCAATTCGTGGAGCTCATCAACAAGTGTAACTCCATGCAGTCTGAGTACCGGGAGAAGAACGTGGAGCGGATTCAGAGGCAGCTGAAGATCAGTGTGTTGCAGTGGCCAGCCCGGAGGGAAGGAGGAAGAGGAGGAGGAGGGGCCGTGGTAACCTGACCCCACACTCAGCCTGGCCTTTTCCATCACAGCCAACGCTGGGATGGTGTCCGATGAGGAGCTGGAGCAAATGCTGGACAGCGGGCAGAGCGAGGTGTTTGTGTCCAATGTGAGTGCTGCTAATGTGAACCCAGGCCCTGTTGGATAGCGGGAAGGTGGAGGCCCAACAGGGAGCTCGTTGGCTTATCTGGATCCGTCGTCCAGCACTGGCTCTGGGGCTGCCCACAGGGCTCAACGGACTGGGCGGCTGATCTCCTGGTGACCTGTCCCCCGCCCCTCAGATCCTAAAGGACACGAAGGTGACCCGGCAGGCCCTCAATGAGATCTCGGCCCGGCACAGCGAGATCCAGCAGCTGGAGCGCAGTATCCGGGAGCTTCACGAGATCTTCACTTTCCTGTCCACCGAGGTGGAGATGCAGGTGGGCAGCCAAGGCAGCTGGCTGGGCTTGGCCCTGCCCTCTCGATGGACGCCACCTCTGGAAGCGAGACCCTGCTCCTTCAGGACCCCCAGCCAGGACTGTCTGCGTCCCCCGTTCCTAGTCTCTCCATGACGGACAGCTTGGGTCTCCTCCAAGTTTGGTCAAGGCCCCAGGGTGGCCCTTCCCTAGACCAGAAGCCACAGCCTGTCAGAGCCCCTCAAATTGTGTGTGCCGCTAGGACATTCGCCCCTGCCACACAGGGCCACCTGCACCCTCACCACCCCCCAACCTGAACCCGCCCAGCTATAACCCCATTTTGACTCTTCTCCCACCCACAGAGTTTGCTCAGAGTTACCCCCTAGAAGGCCTGTCACCTAAATAGCTGTCAATGCCCGTGGGTATGGAAGGTGCTCTTCCTCTGGCCCTGGTTGTGTGGGACGAGGTGAGCTTCCCAACCCTGTTGTCCTGGAGGAGCTGACCCAGGACTGACCCCGCCCCAGTCTAGGATGCCCTTTGGCAGCTGTCGGTCCTGGGGAAGTGATTTCATTCTGGGGAGGACCAGGGAGGCTGGCAGTGCCCAAGGGAGGGTCACCACAGCTGAGGGCTGGGCCTCGGACAGCGGTTTTCAGCCTTCCTCCTGCCGCGACCCTTTCATACAGTTCTTCATGCTGTGGTGACCCCCCAACCATAACATTGTTTTCGTTGCCACTTCATCACTGTGCTTTCGCTACTGTGATGAATCCGGCGACCCCTGTGAAAGGGTCATTCGACCCCCAAAGGGGTTGAGACCTACCGTTGGAGAACCGCTGGCCTAGAAGAATGGGTGGGTTCAGACAGATGCGTGAGGGGAGCCAGGTTCCCTCTCTGTAGAAGGTGAAGACGTGTGGAGAACAGGGGTAAGGGACCCATGCAGGTATAGGAGGGGCTGGGCACCGCCCTCCCAAGTCTGGACTTTTGCCAGGTCTGGTCCTGCCTCCGCGGGCGGTTTCTTGGTTAGCGTGGCTTCTCCAACCACGAGGAGCCTTTAGACATTGGGACCGTTGTAGGCAGACCGAGGAACTACTAGGTGCCCCACTCCCAGCTGCCCCTGCCCTCCTGAGCCGCCCCCTCCTCTGAGCAGGGGGAGATGATCAACCGGGTGGAGAAGAATATCCTAAGCTCCGTGGACTATGTGGAGCGTGGGCATAAGCATGTCAACATTGCCTTGGAGAACCAGAAGAAGGCACGGAAGGTGAGTGAGCCTGGTCCCTCTGTGGCCAAGTGCCGGGCCCTCCCGTTCCCTCTGCTCCCCAAGCGGCCAGCCGCCCTGAGCCCCTCCTCTCCTACAGAAGAAGATCCTGATCGCCATCTGCGTGTCCATCACCGTCCTCATCCTTGCTGTCATCATTGGCGTCACCATCGCGACTGGATAGCATCTTGCAGTTGGTGAGCCATGGTGGGCCTGACCCCTGCCCTGCCCCATCCCTGGCCGTCTCCCATCTGCAGACCCTTCTCTTTCCCTGCAGGCCCTGGGAGCAGCAGGAGCCTAAGTCCCGCCTTCACCACCCAGCAGCTGAAGGGCAGGGCAGAGCCTCCTGCTGGATGCCCTTCCCCGCACTGGCCTCTGAGCACTGGGACGAGCAGATGGCCCTTCTGCACTTGGCAGCTGCCCGTTTCATGGGGGCCAACCCCCACCCTCAGGCCAGTAGGCCTGGGGAGATTCTGAAGGTCCTGTCTTTGGCTTTGATACGCGGTTTTGTAAGAAATTAAAAACCAGACAAAAGCATCCCCACGGGCTTGGAAATCTGACTGCATTTGTGATCCTGGAAGGACTGGCCCCAGCGCCCAGCCTGGATCTCCCCTGACCCTCCCCCGGGGGCTGGTGCAGGTCAGATGGCCTCGGCCCTGGAGCCCCAGCAGGCAGCCTCTGCTCCCTCAGCTCAGGGCTGTCTTTGGGAAAGACCCGCTGTGACTATCTAGCCCTGAAACAAGGAGGCTGGGCAGATGGGTGGAGGAGGGGAGATGAGCCTGGATCCCCTGGGTGTCCCAGAAGCCAAGAGGAAGAGGATTAACGGACGGACGGAGTTACTGTGTGTCCTGTTGAAGGGGCGATGGCGGAGCGGTGTGTGAAATGAGGAGGGCCTTTCTAAGCAGCAGCAGCAGAGATGGCCAGCCTCTGTGATCTGGAAGCAAAGAAAGCATTGCCGTTTCTAAGGTTTGAAAGAGCCAGTGACCCTAGACCTGGACACCTGGTCTCTAAGGAGTTGGCTGGCTGAAGCAGGGCCCGGAGGAAGAGGAGGCTGGCCCCTGGCCATCTGAGCGCCAGGACTGACCACATCTCTCAGGGCGAGCAGGGGCCCGATGCTGAGTTTCTGGCGGGGAGTGTGGCCCCTGAGTTTCATGGTTGGAGTGAGACAGCGCGGACACCTGCCCCTCCAACACCCACCCCAGGCCCGGCTTCCCGTTGGGGCCTTTCAGTTTCCATTCCTCAGGTTGAGGCTGCTGACGCTGCTGCCCCACCCCGACTGCCCTTCTCCCCTCCCCCATCTCCAAGGCTCCCCCTGGGCCAGGTAGTGAGCTTCCCGTGTGGTAGCCCCCTGACGTGAGCCAGTCACAAAAGGGCTGAACAGAACGTGTCTGGTCACCGCTGTGCCTCGGGCTCTAAGAGGGCGGGACTGGTCCACTGGGCTCCATCTACCTGCTGGGTGGCCCCTGCCCCGTGGCCCTGGCCTGCAGGTGTAGGGGGTCTGCTGGGCCACATGGGCCTGACGGCTGGAGGGACTGGGTCGAAGCTGGAAAGCAATGGGGCAGTGGCTCTACAGGCGTCCTTGAAGGGCGCCCCTATTGCCCTGTGGGAGGACCCGAGGGGAGGTCCACTCGGGCCTCGGAGAGAACCCCCCCCCCCTGCGGAAACACCCAAACGTGATTGGACCACAGATCTCAAGGAGGCGTGGCCGACCCTCCAAAAGAGGCAGGAAGGCTGGAGCAGTTTGGAGAGACTGGTGGAAGGTTTCGGAGAAGCCGCGGCCAGTCCAGGTACCCAGCCACTGAGTTCACCCCTGCAGGGGTGATGCCGGGGTCTGCAGGAGGCGCAGCGTCCCCGGTTCAGAGGAAGCCCCGCACACTGCAGGAAAGATCTTCTCATTCCCTGGAGCGTCCAAGCACAGTCTGGACACACAGTTGGCGGGGAAGCTGCTTCTGGGCTTTGCAAATTCTGGCCCAGCCCTCCGGCAACTTCCATCTCTTGCCGGAATCCTGTTGTCCGCCACCTTTGCCCCCTCCCCTACCTCTCTGCCCTCGGAGTAAAACTGCACAACCCATGGCACCTCCTGGGATCTGGTAGAAAATGTTGACACCCATTTTGTGTTGGCATCGACCGGACAGCCCAGGTGGGTTTGATTTCCTTTGGGTCCGCCCCATCCCTGCGGCTGGCTGACCCCTCCAGCCTGTGCCTTCTGCCGAAAGCCTGCACCGCATCTGGCCAGACTCTCCTGGCCTAGGTGGCTGGTGGTTGGATGGCCAGGCGAGGCCTTGGGGCCCCCGCTTCCTTTTCAGACCATGGGAATTCATGTGCTATGGATTCGCTTGTGTGCCCTCCAATATATATTTTGTACTCTGAAGCCCTGTACCTGTGCAGTCATCCCACGTAGGAGTAGGTCTTCCTTTGTTGTGTATCTTAGAGGAACCGTAAACGAGCAGATTAGGTACTGAAGCACGCAAGGACAAACAGGAAGAGAGACAGCAGACAGAGCTCCAAGCACTGCAGAGAGGGCCGGAGCAGCTCAGATGAGGATTTGTCTCCCAGATGGACAGAGAGAGCTTTCTCCTTGAGCCCTGAATTCAGATTTCTAACCTCCTAAACGGTGAGGAAGTAAGTTTCTGTTGGCCTAAGCTCCTGTGTGAGTCCGGGTAGACAAGAGAACCAAGTTCATAGACACTCATATGTGTCTAAGAAAGAGCTTTATATAGTCATTGTATGTTAAGAAAACATTCCAGCCCAGCCCAGATCAAGTCCATAAGTCCGATATTAGCCCATATGTCCGATATCAATCTATAAATTCCTCTTCAGCATGGAGGAGCACAGGTCAGTGGGTGGGAAGTCTTGTGTTGTGGCTATAGTAGCAGTGGAAGCAGGTCAGCGCTGGCGTGGGTCGCCATGTGGCTCCTCCAGCTCCTGGGCACTGGGTTCTTCAGTGTGTCTCCATGTGGCTTGTCAACAGAAATATATAGCAGGAAAAGAGTGTGTATCTGGCCTCCAGTGAGCTATTTATCTCCATAGCACCTCCATGGTCATCAAGCTGCAACCTGATTGACAGCCTAGACTCCACCCCATACACTCCTAATAGTCTCAAGTTGACACCAGATTATGTAACTACCACAGCCCCCACCCCCAAATCAGTGGGCTTTCTGTTACATCAACCCTAAGCAATGAAGACACCTTGGAAGGCTTTGGAGCAGGAGGATCACAAGTTTGGAGTAGGTCTGGCACAGTCACGTGGGCCCAGGTAGTGGGGATTTCACCGGCGGCTATTCCTTTTCTTTTTTCTGGAAAAGTGATCGAAGGTCAGACTCTGCATCTAAGCCCTGTCTTGGCTGCTTACAGCCAAACTTTCAGAGACTAGGGCTTGAGAATAGTGTGGCCTTTCCAATCCACATTGTATCTCAACCTTTCAGCTGCCCCCACTCACTCATGGGTCCCATTCCCAAGGAAAGGAATTTGACTGGGTGGGTCAGCTCTCCAGGTGGGGCCCCACAGACTTGCAAATACATTGTCTGCTTTTGAGTCAAAGGTTAGCCAAGGTCTATGAGGGGTGTCCCAGGGCACACACACTGCAATTGAGTGTGCATATCTGATGGAGGGAGGAGCAGACGGGCTCAGTGATCAAAATCTCTGGCACATCCCCGCTGTAGGTCGATGGTATTATTGGTCCACACATTTCCCCTCCTTCCTTCCACACCAGTTCTTCCACTATGGGGAGATTATGCGTTCCTGCCCCATTTATAACAGGTTTGGCTAGGTGGGAATGACTTGCGTTGGCCCATGGAATAGGAGTAGAAATCTCAGGCACATCTTCCACAAAGAAGCTTGCAGCGCTAGCAGCAGTCCTCCTGCTCGCCTTCTCTTTTTCCCTTTGCCAAGAGCCCGGGGATTTCTGGATGAAGACTTCTGCGTCAGTCTGGAGCCCCGAGTGGTGAGGATGAGAAGCGGAGCTGCAGCCCCCTGCAAAACGATGCCCATCCACAGCCCGTGAGACGCAGCAAGCAGCTCTTCCTCTGAGTCACTGGTCTTTTTTTTTTTTTTAATGAATCCTTTGATTGGGGGGCTCTTACAAATCTTATAACACTCCATCACCCTTGTCCATAGGTGGCGATCAACATTTCCAAAACAATTTCTACTGGACCCCCTGGTCTCAGATCCTGTTTTTGCCCCCTCGCTACTGCACCCCTCCACCCTTGTGAATCCTCGATCAATGATAGATTATCGTTATTTCGTGTCTTCCACTGCCCCATTGTGAGTCACTGATCTCTGGGGATTGTTACCGCATCATCTTCAAACCCAAACTCACTGCCACTGAATCTATTCGGGCTCTCGACCACGCCCCAGGACAGAGTAGAACCGCCCCCTGTGCGTTTCTGGAGCCTGTAGATCTTCACAGGAGTAGAAAACCACACGTGTGTCTCCCAGAGGACTGGTGGTTGGGAGTTGCTGACCTTGTGGTTCACAGCGCAACGTGCAACCCATAATGCCACCAGGGCTCCTTGACAACAAACTAATTGAGCCTGAACGAACCGCTTCAGAAGGCATGCCCAGAAATGGAGGTGCTGACACAACAAAACCTAATTCGAAACCATGTGGCCGGGCAGAGGGTGACGGAGAAATCATCGTCGACAGTTGACTAGGTGGTGGTCTGGATCACACTGTGGGCTCATAGTTGGTGACACTCTAAATTGGGAACAACTAAGATGATAAAGAATGTCCAAATGAGCTTGAGACTTTAGGTGAAAGAAGAAAAAAAAATGGGACAGATACTATTTGTAATATGCCTTGATTGATATTGGATATAGATGGCGAGTTATTATAAGGGAGAGATGATTCTGGAACTCGTTCGCCACTTCTTAAGCAGGACGGGAAGAGAATGTAGAAACCTCTGGGAAGTGATTTACAGTTTCAACCAGTGACAGGTATGTTGGAGAAGGCCTTGGAGCAGCAGAGCCTGGTTAGAACTCATCCTTGTGGCAAGGACCCTGTGAGGTCTTAACTAGCAGGTTCAACTGTTATATCTCACCTCTCATATTTGTTGCAATAGTGACACAGCACTCGCAGACAATGTTGACGATCATAGGGTTTATTGAGGAAGTTAACTGTAATGCAAGTGAGAAATACTCAGGATACAGTTGCTCACCAGGACATGTTACAAAGTTCTTCCAGGGCTGGGAATTAATGTCCAAAGGGAACTCAGCTCCAGGAATCCTCAGCCTGAAGGCTCCCATCTCCACCTCCGTGGATCAGCGAGCACCGCTGCCCCAATAAAGTGCCCAGAGGCACCCCACTCCACAAGCCAGCCTCCTGCCCAGAAGCTTTACTTGCTCTGTGGCAGGGAAGTCCCCACTCTGTTTCAGACTCTGGCTCCTGGCTCTGCTGCTGCTCCTCTGACATCACAGTTGTCTTCTGAATCCAAGAGATTCACGCTCAGGGCATCTCCAGGTCCAGAAGATGTACTCCACTCCTGGCTCTTGTTGATAGTCAAATCCCTCACCCCTGTTTCTCAAAGGACTAATTTTATA